GTGACCTCTCTTAAAGCAGCTTCTCCACAATGGACATCCAGCTTTGTCCAGCCTCTGGCACTTAGACTGCGGCTCTGCACAAGAAGTTTGGCCAAAGGAGAAATGGACATGCACAACTGAACCAGTTTTTTTTTTTTTTCTTCACTTTCGTCAATTGGTGAAGTTTGTTCCTTGCCTCTATTGCCACTGGCTTGCAAAGTTCAGGACTTGTGGAGCTGCATTTCGACGGATTTGCTCTTCAGTGTTTGTACTTTCAGCAGTGAAAATCAAACCACACTAAACTACTAATCTCTGAAAACTGGACTGACACTGTTTAAATGTACTATAATGTTCTATGTTGAGCTGCTTTGACACAATCTACATTGTAAAAGCACTAGAGAAATAAAGATAAATTAAATTGAAAAAATGTCGAAGCGTAGGCCCACATGTGAACGAACTGTATGCTTTTGCGCTGAGCAGTACTTTTTTTATTTTTTTTAACTTCTTTTTGATATAGTCCCATTGAGATTGCCTGTATTTAAATACTCCCTGATGTACACCAGTGCGAATAGTCAAAAAGTAAGTCTTAAATCCTTCATTCAACATCAAATTTGATGTTTAAAGTGAAAGGAATGAAAAACAAAATTGAATTTGAAGGTGGCCTGTGTTTTATTGATCGATAAAAAAACTGCATCTCTGCATCAAGAAGGCTTCCGTGTCTTAGGTTTGAGTCTCTCTGGGGATCGACACGTCCTGCATAGAAAAGCGAATTAACAGAGGCAATATGTCAGCTATCATATCCATTTAACAGCAACCAAAAAGACTGCCTTAAACTTTATCTATATGCCAAATCCAGCCTCTGATCTTGTGACGTGAAATGATATTCGTAGCTAACTTGTACAGAGGCTATTGCTAATTGGCTACCGCCCAAAGCCAGGCCACCGTTGCGGTAAAAAGAGTGCAGATGAAAGAACAGCAAATATAATCCGAAGATATCTGATTTCATCAGAGATCGCTGTACAAATGGTTTCTCGAGGCTAGAAGAGAGGCCCTGTTGCTGGCTCTTACCACATGTATCACTCATCGTCATCCACATGGATTATGACATCTGATAGCGCTGATATAGCTCTGAAAAAACTGGGATGGAGCGTCAGATGTAAGATAAAGTTTACTGCAAATATCACCTTAGTTGCGCAATTGTGATTTTATGTATTTGTTTTGTTGCATTGAATTACTCATAAATCATGCATTCATTAACTTTCCTTCAGCTTATTCTCTATTTTTAGAGGTCACCAAAGCGGAATGAACCAAACTGTTTTGGCACAGTGGAATGAACAACTATTCCAGTATATGTTTTACATAGCGGATTCCCTTCCAGCCACAACCCAGTACTGGAAAACACCCGTACACACTCATTCACACACACTCACTCATACACTATGGCCAATTTAGTTAATTCAATTCACCTAGCGCATGTCTTTGGACTGTAAGGGAAACCGGAGCACCTGAAGGAAACCCACACGAACTCGGGGAAAACATGCAATCATTAAATCATTATAAATCATTTATCTTTTTTTTTTTTTTTTTAAAGTGTCCTCAAAACATCATGAAAATATGAATATTCAACTCTTGTCTGGTGTTGTATAATTGGGGATAATTCATCGCCTCCAGCAACCTGTCACTCATGAGGTCACAGCAATCAGCAAACAAAAGAGATCTAATGAATACCTGATGGATGAAGTCTTTTATTTTTTTTTATTTTTTGACTTTACATCACACGAGAGACGAAAAGATGGGCATAGATAATTGTAAAGATTAGTTTTTTTTTTTTTTTTTTTACTGAAATTGTATAGTGTTTTTTTTATTTAAAAAGATGGTCTCTTTGCACTTAAAAAAATCTTTTTATTTGTAAAGAACCCTTAATTAAATGCATTAACGTATGTGTAAATTAACTGCCAAAGCACATAATTAATGCTTTTCTTGAGCTCAACAATCTACACTGTCTACATTTTCTCAATAGATTTCCTTTTTAAAATGTTTATAAGCCTTATTCTTAAATTATAAACAATTTCCAACCAACCAATCATATTATTTACTTATTTTAATTAAACAAAATGTATGACCAGCTTTGTTCAGATAAAGTTTATCCTCTCTTTTCTGCAAAGCAAATGAATTTATAATCCAAATAGTTCAAATTCTAACAAATATTACTTATGTAGGTCATAACAGTGGTGCAGAGGGTAGCATGATCACCTCACAGCAAGAAGGTCACTGGTTCGAGCTGATTGTCTTTTCTGTGTGGAGTTGGTATGTTCTCCCCATGTTCGCATGGGTTTCCTCTGGTTGCTCCAGTTTCCCCTATACAGTCCAAAGACACAGGGTGAATTAAATAAGCTAAATCAGCTTTTATTGTATTAGTGTGTGTGTGAAAGAGTGTGTATGGATGTTTCCCAATCTTGGGTTGTGGCTGGAAGGGTATCTGCTGTGTAAAACAAATGCTGGATAAGTTGGCGGTTCATTTTGCTGTTGCAACCCCTGATTGATAAAAGGACTAAGCTGAAATGAAAATGAATGAATGAATGAATGAATGAATGAATGAATGAATGAATGAATTACTTATATATGCAGAAACACACACATACAAATGCAAATTAAGGCTACTTTTGGCCTACATACAGTAGCCATACATGTTTTTTCCATAAAAAAGGGATTGAAACACACTGACACAAAAGGAGCCAAGTTATGTACTTCAGATAGTGTATTATTAAATATATTACATTTAAGGTTACATATACAATTCAATTTAAATTTATTTTAAAGAATGTCCAAGAATGCCCACGGTATGCCTCACCTATGAGGTATGTTGTCACATTTCACTTCCGCTGTGTTGGGGTGAATACTGAAAAAGTGTTTACTGTAATTATGATTCGAAGCCACATATTTGTACTAGATACGTGTTAAGTTACTTTAAAATATGTCATATTAAGGGCATCCACTGTGTAAGAATAGTGTGTAGTATGACGGAATAGTTGGTGGTTCCTTCCGCTGTGGCAGCCCCTGATAAATAAGGAACTAATCAGAAGGAATATAAAGTTAATGTCAGAATTATTTGCCCCATTATTTTTTTTCTCTTTTTTTCTCTTTTTCTATTTTCCAAATGTTGTTTAACAGTGCAAGGAAATTTTCACAGTATGTCTGATACTATTTTTTTCTTTTAAAAATTGTCTTATTTGTTTATTTCGGCTAGAATAAAAGCTGTTTTTAAATTTTTAAGCACCATTTTAAGGTCAAAATTATTATTTTTTCGATAGTCTACAGAACAAATCATACAATAACTTTCCTAATTACCCTAACCTGCCTAGTTATCCTAACCTGGTTATTAAGCCTTTAAATGTCACTTTAGGCTGTGTAAAAGTGTCTTGAAAAATATCTAATCAAATATTATTTACTGTCATCATGGCAAAGATAAAATAAATCATTTATTAGAGATGAGTTATTGAAACTGTTTAGAAATGTGTTGAAAAAAATTTTCTCTCCGTTAAACAGAAATTAGGGGAAAAAATAAACAGGGGGCTAATAATTCTGACCTCAACTGTATGTCGTATAAAAAATGTGTCAGGTTGTTTTTAATTTTCATATTAACAAGCATTTAATTTCATCATCATTTCAAACCATGTATAAAAATCTCAAACTAATTCGGGTACACTTTTGTTTGTCACAACTTATGCAATTAACAGGCTTATCACCTGCCTATTATTAATAACAATATAGTAGTTATAAAGTCTTCCCTAATCCTCCCACCCAAAACCTAAACCCAACTTCTATAGCCTACCTTTCTAAGTTTTATTACAATTAATAGTTTATTGAGCTAGTTGATGGGTTCTTAGCGTGAATTGTGGCTTAAAATAAAGTGTTACACATAATTCTAATTCTGGTTTATTGAATACAATTTCATGTTTTATTTACATTCACCTGTTTAAACTTTATTGTTAAAAACCAGAGATCAGTGAGTTCACATAAATAGCTCCAGTGCAGTGGGTTTGTCTAAGATTTATCACGAGACCATAAAGATTTTTTTCAGATCCCTGATAACATTTAAAAAGATATTTAACGACAACTTCTGTTCATGTCAACATATACTGTACTTCACAATCTGAGATTTGTTTCAACGCGCTCGATCGCTCCGGTATCCTGCGTAAACATTCCTGCATAAATAAACATTGTTTGGACGTTAGGAAACAATAGCCATATAGACAAAACAATCCCCTTTTTACAGAATCGTACTAAAGGTGTGCAGCCACACGAACCGAGGATTCCTCCAAAGTTATGCGGGCCCCACATTCCGCACATGCACCTTGAGCAGCGGGAACTCGATCACAGACTCCTGCGTTCGAGCGTGTCGAGTTACCAGCATTTCCTGTGTCTCATATCTGGAGCGAGCGAAATCTCCAATGGAGCAAAGTAATGCGAGATGGGAGTGGTTCCGTTATGAGGTCACGGTGAGGGACTGAGCGCGCAGCAGCGATCGAGCGCGAGCGCTAGACATGAGAAGGACGCGATTGCTGGAAACGATTATTCGCACAGCTGAATGAATCTCTGACTGCTGACAACAATAAAAGCACAGAAGCGCGATTCCTTCGACAGGGAACTACCGAAAAGCGGCGCGCTCTGGCTTTATAGGCGCAGGACAGGCTAGGAAGACTCCAAGGAAGAGGCGCGTGAGGAAAGTTTTCCTGCGCGAAAACAAACTGGACGGAACAGTGCCGAGATCGTGACGCATAAGCCATGCACTGGTTGTACAGCGTGGGATAGTTCTTCTGGTGTCTTTCATCCGAAGGGGATGCCTTTTTGGTGGCTTTCATCAACAAAAGTTTAACGTCAGGAGCGTCGTTGCTTTTTTCGACAAGAAAACTGGTTTAATTCGGAACGGAACATTTCTCGCGCTCGTCCGGTTATTATCGTTCGGTTTATTTGTTGCTTTGGCAGGAGGATCCCTTCCTCATCGCCTAGTTTTTGGGGGACAGGGGGCGGGTTGGATTTCTATATTTTTTCACTTTTCCCCCATGGCCTCCTCCAGGATGTATCTTCTTGTGAAATGCATGCTGATTCTCCAACTTGTGGTGTTGATCGCGAAGAACAGTCGGGCGCTCATTTGTTTGCCCTGTGACAAGTCCAAATGCGAGGAGCCCAAGCCCTGCACGGGCTCGGTGGTGCTGGGGATCTGCGGCTGCTGCTCGGTTTGTGCCAAGCAGAAGAACGAGAGCTGCGGCGGCGTTTACGGTCTGTACGGGACCTGCGACCGCGGACTCCGGTGCGTGATCAGACCCCCGTTAAACGGCGGCTCCATCACGCAGTACGAGGTCGGAAATTGCGAAGGTTTGTATATGCGCATTTCATCCACTCTCTGAAAGTTGTCACCTGTGAGCATTGCGTTAATGGGGAATTAAAACAAATCACATCACCTCTGCCTCCGTCTGGATATTGGCGAAACTAAACTAAAGCGGATATGTTCTGGCAAGCCTATTAAAGCTGCTTATATTGTAAAACTTGATATATTCAATTCAAGACCTTGCAGTATTGTTTCACAATTCTAGTCACATCTCTGTAGTGATATACACTTCTGCTGTGTTCGCAAACTTACCACAAATCTGAATACTACAGATCACACATCTATTGTGATCACACATCTATTCCCATTGGGGATACTTTATTTTTGCCCATTTCGAGGGATGTAAACAAAAGCAATGGTCCCGTATTAACTATTTTACATTTTTAATTTCTGTTGAATCCACAAGTTGATAAATAATGTTATGATGGCTGCTTTGACATTAAGTTATCATTAAATTTCCTCTTGTTACAGTTATGCAATAGTTTTGATAACAAGCAGTAAATGTTTATGGGCCAATGAAATAAACACATTGAAATGGTCTATAGACTAGCAGCAGTATGAGTAGTTAGTATACATAGCAGCTTTACTGGTTCTTATTTGTTATATAGAAGTACATTTTTGTCTCAAAACACATTTTAGTGATATTTATTTCAGTATTCTTACTAATAAGATAGAAATGTTTGAATGCACAGTTGGAATTATGAGTCAGAATGAAAGTTCAGCTATTTTACATCAATGTAACAAGCAGCTGTGGACTGCATGGAATGCGAATATCTTGTTTCACAAACAAAGATCACTAAATAATTGAATAGCAAATAAACAAATTGTTTAGTATATGATGTACTAAATAAATCTGAAGTCCATCTGAAATAAATACATGTTTCTCACTAGTGGAATATTTTTTTTGTGATGGAAAAAAATGAACAACCTATAGAGTTAGTGTTAAAAACAATTATTATTAAAATGGCTTGCCACACTCTCTCTCTATACACACACACAAAAAGAAATGTGTGATTTGTGCTATATTAATACAGCGTGTTTTGTTCTGTAGCTTATGAATGAAATGACCCATTCTCAGTTCTTATTAGACATCGTAATGTGATTGTGAATTCACTATGGAGAGGATAGTAAAAGCATGGGGCTGAATGTCAGCTTAAGTCCATTTTACTACACAATAACACCCTGGTATAGCCTTGCCTGTATAAGTGATGTTTGTTGTTGGAGAAGAGGTGAGCTGGTTAATGTGTTTGCAGCATGTCGATTTTCTGTTTCTTTGGGTTAAAGGATTCCGTGCTGTTTTTGGATGTGGTGCCAGCCTCGCTCTTTCCGCAGAGGCTTGTTGGTTTTTCATAGGAATGTCTGCTATGCAACTTCACTTGCGCCTCATATCGTCGAGGGACGTGCGCTTCTGTCATGAGCCTTCCCAGGATGCGTTTTACTCATCCTCACCTTGAATCTGCTAATTGTGCTGTCAAACGCACGTCTTAGCTCAGGGTCTGCTCTCTATAGGGTTTCTCTCTGTGTTTTGCATACTTTTTAATCCTGGATTAGTACGTTTTGCACTTGTACTTTTGAAGGTTGTTTTTAAATTCCGTTATGAAGCCTTGTGTACACATAGTCTGAGAAGCGCATTGTTCAACACCAAAGCCTATCATGTGCCTTTGTGTTGTTGCATGAACTTTCACTTGCTCTTTAGTTTTCACTTCTGAGATGAATATGATGGAAAACATGCTGGAGAGGGAAACCAATAGTACTTTATGTGATGTTTCACAGATCTTTAACAGTTGGAATCTGTATTCGTCCAATCAGTGTTATTGATCTCATAAATATGCAAATAACTCGGTTTACAGTTGTATTTTGAAATAAACACAATCATTGTGAGCCTTACCCTAAACTATACAGATATAACTCGATGTTGTCTATCAAATAAGATAATTTATTGATTATTCAATAATGTAAATGATTAAAGGTTTATCCAACCTAATCCTTTTGACATAATGTACTCTTCCTCATGCTGTGCCAAATGTAAATGCCCTCAAATAACTGATGCTTTAGGAAATGAACAAGATAAAACAACATCTGTTGACAGTGTGCAAATTATACATTGACTTATGCCTGCAGGCACAGGACATCAACTCGACGTCATGTTGATGTTGTACCCCAATGTCGTGGGGACGTTGGATTTTGTTTGGAAATGAATATCGGGTAGAACCCAACGTCAGGTCGGCGTCAATGTCCAACATCCAACCTAAAATCAACCTAAAATCTATCAAATATCAACGTCTAATCATTTTACACCTTAATGATGTGTGGACGTTACCACTATGACATCTATCAGACATTGGATTTTGGTCACTTTCCAACACAACCTAAAATCAACCAAATATGAATGTAATTTAACACCGTTTTTGAACGTCAAAAAAACTTTGTCCTTAGACACTGGCTAGACATTGAATTTTGATCACCTAATGTCATGACCTAAATCTAACCTAATGTCAACATCTTATGATGTTTTGTGCCTTTTTGGTCAACCTTTTTCGATAGTAGTTTAGTATACATGCTTCAGTGAATCAAATTTATCAATCTATTTCAATTGATTCATTCATTCATTTTCTTTTTGGCTTAGTCCCTTTATTTATCTGGGGCGCCACAGTGGAGTGAACCACCAACTTATCCAGCATATGTTTTATGCAGCGAATACCCTTCCAGCTGCAACCCATCACTGGAAAACACCCATACATGCTCATTTTACAATTTTAGCTTACCTAATTTACCTATAACACATGTCTTTGGACTTGGGGGAGCACCCAGAGGAAACCCATGCAAATGGGGGAGAACATGCAAACTCCACACAGAAATGCCAACTGACCCAGCCAGGGGTCAAACTAGTAACCTTTTTGACAGCACTACCTATTCTGCCACAGCATCACCCATATGTAAATTACATATAATTAATTAATAAAATGTATACATTTTCAGTGTTTTGAGAAATATTTAGTGACTATTTTAGAGGTTACTGTAGGTCAAACTTTACAAAAAATGCTACATGCAGATATAAACATCTATTTTAAAAGAAATATGTTTTGTGAAGACTTGAAATGTTTATCAGTGCTCTAGAACTGGAGCCCTTTACTTTTGAAGTGCTCAACCATATACATCTTTTGATGTTTACAGTGGGATCCTAATTTAGTTTTGATGTCCTTTGGGGAGGGGGGGAGGGGGTCAAGCATTAATTTAGGGGGTTAATCCCCTCAAACCCCCCTGTAATTCGCACCCTGTCAGTTGATGAATTGTGAGCTGCTTTTCTACTGCACATTACAGTTTGGTATGATTTTTTTTTAGCTCAATTTGCATTTCCACTGCAGTTTAGTACTGATTATTAAACATGGGATTAACACTTAATTTGTATATCGCCTCTAACTTTCAGAATAACTTTTTAACTTTGTGTCATCCCATCCACTGGTTTAGTTTTTAGACTACCAATGAGAGGAACATCTGGACTTCTTCACCTGTTCCACTGGCAATGATGCTGTCATTTCAGGTGTTGGTTTGTTTGCTGTGGTATAAAATTATCTTACATTATCACAGCGCTGATAACTATTTAAATATAGACCATTTCTATGTAGTCATCGGCTCATGAACATTTCCTGCTTGTTATCTAACTGTTTACTAGCTGTAACAAGAGGCAGTTCAATCTTAACTTCATGTTAACAGCTATCATAACATTATTTATCAATATGTGGCTCTTTTTGGATTCCCAGAAGCTACAGAAATTAAAAATGTAAAACAGGAAATGTGTTGGGACCTTTGTTTTTGTTTACATCCCTCAAAATGGTCTATAGTGGCTTTAGAGTCTTGCCTTCATAATCAATTGCCACTATTAATGACGAATCTCAGATTAATTAGTCATCAGCAGTGAGTAAACATAACATTTTGGTAACGGTACAGCTTGCTTGGAAATTGGCACTGAAAATGTAGCAGGTACTGGGAATTGAATACAGTGGAAAAACACCCAAATGCTTCTCTTCTGAAACAAAACGATAGGTGTGTGATTAAAAATAATTCAAATGTAATAAATTATCATGGTGGTGCATTTCTATGTGGAGTTTGCATGTTGCATGCATGTTGCATGTTTCTATGTGGAGCATCTTCTCTCTCATGCTCTTGATTCCTCACAAGTCCAAATACATGCGCTATAGGTGAATTGGGTAAACTAAATTGTCAGTAGAGTGTGTATGTCCTGGTCTTCCAGGTTGGGGGTTGAGCATTGAGCTAAAGACTCACCACATAAAAACTAGACGTTACGAAACACCAACATGGTGTGACTAAATATCAACTTTAATATAAACGGCTCTAGGAGTAAACGATCAAGAACTGATTGATGAGTTCATGCTTAAAGGTACAGTAGGTGATTGTCTTCAGAAACATTTTTTTGTTGTGCTGGTTGAAAGTCTCTTCACAGTCCAATGGTTATGATTAAAGTAAATGATTTAAATGTATTTATATGTATTTTTATATTCAGGGTAAATCATAAAACTAAAAAAATGTTCACCCATTTAAATAATGTCGGGCCGACATCTCCCATAATTCCGATAAGCAGCTCAAACTGTCTGTCAGCAAATGTAGATTCGGACTTCTGCACATCTGTTCACGCAGATCCGCCATTCGCGCGTGCATGCCTGCATGAGCGCCATGCGTTCACGAGACAATCACAGAAACGGTGAAATCAAATGCTAAATTGAAACTTTTGAAAATCCTGAATCAATATTAGAGTTACTTTTGCATGCTGGAGGAAGGACGACACCCTAGCTGAAGTATTACTCTTAAACAGGTACTGTTCTAAACTATTTTAGTCAGGCTAAGCTTATGTTAGATTGTGTTGTTATGAATTGCTTATATGCACAGACATGTTGTTCAGTGACTGAAATTTCCCGGCGAAAGATTGATTTTCAGTTTTAAAAGGGACCTTTTAAATCAGCATCAGTGA